GGGCTGAGGCTATCTTGAGTATCAGGTTCAGGTGTGTGTCGCTTAGCTCAGAAAGTAGCTTAGATTTGTTGATATTTATGATGGGGAATACTTGTTCACACACATATATGCTCCCAAACATGGAAAGAATTCTTGATGCAAAGGACTTCAGTTTGGAATAATTTGATCCAGATATTGGTAAACTTGGAAACACCAATATTGGAAAATTTGCCCTTCAGCAGTATCACACTACACTTCATTAAGTTCCAGTTGGAGCTCCTCTAGTACATCAAGCACATTAACAGAAAAGGTTGTGCTGAAAATTGCAAACTCTTCTTCTTGGTTCCTGAAGTCAGAGAATCATTCTTGAAATTCCTTTCTCAATTCAGCAATTTTGCCCATGGTGTCATCACACTGAGTCCTAACAGTGTCACATAGTGATTTCAAGGGAAGGTAAGTGTGCCAAGTTACTCTGGGAAAGTTCCTTCTCCCACAGCTGAAGCTCAGTTTCAAAGTTGTGAATGTTGTCATAGTATTCTGTCACTACTCGGTTGCTCTCCTGCGTTCTTGTGTTGAGCAAGTTCAAACGCTCTGTAATATCCACTATGAAAGCAAGGTCTTGAAGCCATTCATTGTCCTGTAATTCAGTGACATCTTTCCCTTTGTGATCCATGAAAAGGTGGATCTCTCAACACGATTCAAAAAAGGGTAACAAAAATGGCTAGGGACGTAGAACAACTTCCATATGAGGAGAGATTAATAAGACTGGGACTTTTCAGCTTGGAAAAGAGATGACTGAGAGGGGATATGCTAGAGGTCTATAAAATCATGACTGGTGTGGAGAAAATAAATAAGGAAGTGTTGTTTACTCCTTCTCATAACACAAGAACTAGCGGTCACCAAATGAAATTAATAGGCAGCAGGTTTAAAACAAACAAAAGGAAGTATTTCTTCATACAACGCACAGTCAACTTGTGGAACTCTTTGACAGAAGATGTTGTGAAGGCCAAGACTAAAACAGGTTTCAAAAAAGAACTAGATAAGTTCATGGAGGATAGGTCTGTTAATGGCTGTTAGCCAGGATGGGCAGGGATGGTGTCCCTAGCCTCTGTTTGCCAGAAGCTGGGACTGGACGACAGGGTATGTCATCACTGTTCTGTTCATTCCCTCTGGGGCACCTGGCATTGGCCACTGTCGCAAGACAGGATATTGGGCTAGATGGACCTTTGGTCTGACCCACTATGGCCGTTCTTATGTTCTTAAGCTTCAACAGAATTCCCCAATTTAGCCACTGAACTAAAGTTTGATATGGTAGTCCACGATGAATGTCACATTCTTCCAACACAGGCTGAACTGATTAGAGACCTCTAGCTCGAATAAAATTTACATTTTAATAGCCACATCCATCACGTGATTCATTTCCAAAATTTTACTACAGAAAGCTTCTTGATGTAAAATACAAAGAAAACTGCTAAACTGTTGGTTGTGGTTGATCATTTGCAATTAGGTCTTCAATTTTGTTGCAACTCCAGCTTTCTTACCTACCCCTGAGGATGCTCTGTTTGTGGCCAGACTCAGAGCTCTTGTCCAGTCCACATCCAATTTGTTGAGAGCTTTCACTGAGTTGATAAAGAGATAATTTGCTGTTGTTGTGTCTACAGTTCTACAAGCTCCTTTGCTATATACACGTTCTCCGTGAATGAACGCTGCTAGCTGAGATGCGTCATTTACATCTGTGCTTTCATCAGTTGCAGTTGAAAAAGCAGCAAAGTACTTTGCTTTGTCCTGCAGTTGACTGTTCAGATTCTCAGCTAACTCATTGATTCTCTCAGCAATTTTGTTTTCTGAGAGGCTGATATTTGCAAAAGCTTCCCACTTATCTGGACACACTACTTCTGAAGCTTGCAGCATGAAGTTCCTCAAAAATTCTCCCTCAGAAAATGGTATTGATGAGACAGCTATTTCATGGGCAATCACATAGCTTGCCTTAACAGCAGAATCACTTACATGACAAGCGTTAGTAAACACTAATGGCTGCTTTTTCAACAACTGTGCTAATTTGGAGTATTTATCTTCACATAATTTTCTTGTTTACTTATCATACTTCTCATCCTGGTTTGCTTCACGGTGTCTTTGAATGTTGTATTCTTTTATCACAGCTACCTGTTGCTTACATACCAAGCACGTGTGCTGTCCAGCCATGTCCACAAAGAAATATGAAATTCTCCATTTCTCCTGAAAGGCAGGACATTCGTGATCTGCTTTTCTCTTTATGGATAAAGACGCGATGGCCATGTGTTACAAGCTGAATAAAGAAATGAAGGAAGGGAAGAGTAGAAGGATATACTCCTGCTCCTTTTTCTTTTCTTTTTTAATTTTTTATTTAAAAGGGAGTCCACCAGCTGCAGGAGGCATTCAACTTTTAACTTATTTGAAGTTTCCTTTTCTTTGATTTGTGAGGTGAGGTATCTAATCTCCAGCCAACGGGTAAGCGCTCGTCAGTGCCATTTCCCCTTGCCCAGACACGTATCAGCTTCCACCAGATTTATGCTTCCCCAGTGCCTCTTAAATGAGACCGAGCGGTTCTACACCTGTGTGCAAGGTACTGCTGTGTGCTGCGCGAGAGTCTGGACTACAGGAGTGTGATTTGCAGAGTGCACCGGTGCGTTGTGCTCTAATTCCCCCGTGTGGAACCTGCTGGCACACACTATATGCATTGATGCACTTAGTGTGCATTGATCTCGTCCTGTTTGAAACAGGACTGCACCAGTGCACACTAGCAGGGTACACACGGGGAGTTAGAGTGGTGACACACTGATGCACTCTATGAATCACACCTTCATAGCGTGGTCTCCGGGATCATATAGACAAGCCCACAGAGTCATGGGAAGTCTGTGGTCCAGATGAAACTGTACCATGGAATGGGTCCAGCCTATGGGCTGTACCCTTAACATCCCTGTGTAATGTCAGAGGAAGGTCCATGGGTAAGGCAGAGATAGAGCTATGCAGGACGTTGAAGGCGAGGGACTCACGAGGCACCATGAGAGCATTTAGAAAAGCAGTACACACAGCACAGCCAATTTTGTTTTGTTTTTCAGAAGCCCTGTTTCCTTTTTGATCTCAGCCCCTTTAGAAGACACTGGGCAAAGTCATACGTTTGCTTCCACTTGTGTGTTCATGCGCATGTGAGGACAAGTGGATAACATCATTGTCTACTATGTTTCAGTCCCACAAATTAAGGCCCAGCAACCCTGCTTGGTGCTACTCTGGTGGTGCACAGCAGCCAGAAAGCTGGCTTAAGTACCCCATGACGATACTCCGTATGTAAGGGGAATATCTGGATGGTAGAGAGATGGTGTAACGGCTCCTTCACTACTCCTCTTCCCAGTTCAAGGGAAATATCCAGGGAAAAAGGAACATGGCCAGAGTATCCTTATGCCCCAGTGATTCTGACTGCCCTATGGGCTATTGGCAGTCCATACAACTTAAAACAACCTCAGGGCCCTAAGGCCCCCTTTGCAATAATCTCCCTCTCCGCCTTGTCACCATGCCACACTGAGCGCTGAAAAGCAAGTACTAAGGATCAGGTCCTAAACATTTAATTAAGTCTCTTCTCTGGTATCCTTGGGTTCTTGCTCAGTGTGAGTGTTGTTGAAATACTTTAAGAGTTCATAACCATCTGAGTGAAACATAAAAATGTGTCTGACTTCCTGAGTTCTGCTATAAGATAAGGTGTCAAATTCAGCCCTAGCCCATTGCTATTGACGTCAGTGGAGTTGCCCCCTTATACACCAAGGCTGGGTTTGGCCCAACAAATGTAATGATGTTGAATTGCCCCATCTGTCTCATATATTATTTCCTGGAAATCCACATCTGGAGTGCATATTGGGTTTATAGAAGAAATGTGTTAAATTGTAGTAGGAATTTGTTCCAATTTCTTGGCAGAAACTGTTCCAATACTATGCCGCAAAGCTGGTCATCTCGTGCTGTAAAAATGTAACAAGTTTAAGGCCTGGCCCTACATGGTGCGGAGTGTTCACACCTTCCCCAGCTTCAATGGGAGCTGGGGAGAGACGGGGGTGCAGCTCAGCACCTCACAGAGGACCCTAAGTACCTTACAGACTGAATCCCTTAGCAATGGAATTACCCTAGGAGGTAAAACTTCAAATTACACTTCCCAGAAGTGTATTGTATTTAGTAAGACCTGTATTGTTTGTTAATAACATAACGAATTATTAAAAGCAGATGTATTGAACATTTTGGATTACCAATAATGTAGCACATTGGTGTCCGGGGCATGATTCTGATCTCGAACCAGCTTAACATCAGCAAAACTCCGTGGAGTTCAGTGAAGAGACTCCTGGTTTCTACTAGGCCCCTAGTTCATTATTCTCAGCAGTGCAATATTTTTTCTGATTAACTGGGGCCAAATCAATGTTGGTGTAACTCTGTTAACTTCAGTGGCATTTACTCTTTTATCATTGTTTATTTCCTACAGGATATATATAAAAATTCTCTAACACTAATGGGATTTTTTAAACTACAATTTAACCCCGTACTGCATCTATGTAAAGTGTTTTGAATGTTCTACATAGTACTTATCATTTATACTTGCACATAAGCCAACCCTTCTGTTTTATCAGCATAGAGTAAAGAGACTATCCTTGTTTGTAGATCCCCTTATATCTCTGGTCAGGAGAAAGAAAGGAGCCATGGTTCCTGCTTGGGGTGTCAAAGTAAAGGAATGGCTTCAAAGATGGTACATGCAACATCTGAAGAGGAGGGCCTCTGGCTAGTTGCCTTAACAGTGGCATTGATTCATTTCCCACAGAATCCTTCTCAATCACAAGAATAAGTTGGCTGGTACTGCCTTTGAAGAATGTTTATTAGGGGCATTGGTTGAGGGTTCTGGGGAATCCCCTCCCCTCGCTTCAAAAATTGAATATAATAAATGTAAAGTGTCACCTTGTTCTTTACTGGACTCATATATTCATAACTGTTTGTCTCAAACTTCTTCCTAGCCTGAGAACCTGCTGTACTACAGCCAGGATGAAGAATCCAAAATCATGATCAGTGACTTCGGATTGTCAAAGATGGAGGATAAAGGAGACGTCATGTCCACAGCATGTGGAACCCCAGGATATGTTGGTAAGTGGTTGGGTCATAATTATCATCAGTTATTCCAAGCGTAAGTGAGAATGGTGGTAATATAAGAGAATGCTCTGACTGTGTATAGTAGGTGAAAGATTTTGCAGACATTAGCTAGAGTTTTCTGAAATTAATGCTTCTCTTTCTTTGGTCCTTTTCATCTATTGTGTCCTGATCCTGCCATGTATTTATTTTTGTGGTCAACTTGGGTTGTGGGATTAAGCTCCGTAATTGTATTCCTTCAAAGGGGGAGCTGTTTTGAACACAGGGCCTGCTCTTGAACTGAAAGCATTTGAATGATATTCTTCTAATCCATTTCTTTTTTAAATCACATATGAAACTGAGACACTTTAACATAGGTATCATTTTGTTTTTAATGATAAAGGATCACATTTCACAAATTCCTTCCAAGAGACGTATTAATAAGTAAAAGGGATGAGCTGCATTTATTTTTAAGTCTCAAATAAACCTCTTGTCTAACCACACTGAGTTATATCGACTCATAGAAATTTCATAGAGATGGGAAAACCCTATGTGTAGTCCAGTCCTCTGTGTGTGTATATATATATATCTTCCTACTGTATTTTCCACTGCATGCATCTGATGAAGTGGGTTTTAGCCCACAAAAGCTTATGCTCAAATAAATTTGTTAGTCTCTGAGGTGCCACAAGTACCCCTCGTTCTTTTTGCTGATACAGACTAACACGGCTACCACTCTGAAACCTTTTAAAGAGACTTTATTTAAAATGCAAACATTATATTTCAGAGGAGCATTCAAAATGGCAGTAGCTGTTCCAATACTGTGATACTATAAGAGGTTACAGTGTAAAATTCATCTTTAGTGTAATTCCTTTTAAATAATTACATTGAAATAATGCCAGGGATACCTTTGGCCTAGTGTTTCTACCTAGGAAGGATCTGAACTTTAAGGTTTTCAGTAGCCAGAAGTAGGTGTTCTTTGCATCTGTGCTGACATACAGTTTTGTGTGTATGGTCAAATGAGACTGGATTTTCCTACCTGACCCTGACCTCCTGGTTTCTTGACTCGGCCTGACTCTTGGTATCTGACTCTTAGTTTCTGATCTTCTGGTTCTGAACTCCAGCTGGTGCAGGGACCCAACCCATCCACCTTATGGTAAAACTAGGCCCAGCTGCCTACATCGGAGCCCCGACGGTTTGTACAGACCACACAGTCATCCCCAAGGGCAGTGGCACTGGAGCACTTTTAATGGTGGGGGTGCTGAAAGCCAGCCCCCTTGACCCTATCCATGCCCCCCCCAACTCGGAGCTGTGGCAAGGAGCAGGGCCGTGTCTCGAGGCGGGGGGGACCTGAACAGAGCTAAGGGGGCTGAGGCTGGGGCCACAGCTGGGGGCAGCTGTGGGGTTGGCAGCCAGAACCCTTTCCCCACAGGACCCAAATATCACCATCACCCCCACTGAGTAGCATGCCTGGGAGCTGGCAGAAAATGTTCATGCCTCCACATGAGCCTCCCATGAGGAACACCAGTGCTCCCGACTGGCCCGTTCCTGACTGGCCCACTCCCACTACTTGGCCAGAAGGAGGAACAGGAAGTTGTTCCTACATCTCTGTTCCACCCTGCTTTGAACTACTCCCCCAGCACTACCTGCTCTTGTCTCCTGGTCCTGACCTCCCAGTTTCCTCACTCGGCCTGATTCCTGCAATCTGACTCTAAGTTCCTGGTCTCGTCCCCTGACCTTCTAGTTCTGAACCTTGACTTGCGCAGGGAGACGGCCCCCTGCCCTTGGCTAACCACTAGGCCTAGCCACCTGACAGTACCTTTGCTTTGGACCCTGACTGAGGGAAGGCTTGTTGTATTTGTGTTTTTAAAGGGACAGGATATTTTTTATTTTATTCAACTGTTGTGCAATAAAATCCACCTAGGCATACTTTTTCCTCCTCCCACCACTCCTATGCAGTCCTATCCTGTATGAAAGAATGGGGTTCGAATTCATGATGTAGTGTAACTGGGTACAATTCTGTTCACTTTGTTTGCGTTGCACCTGCTTATGCCAAGTATTAATTTGGCTGTGACTCTTATGTGGGCAGGGTAGTAAGGGACATCTCCTCCTTCCCGTTCTACTCTGGCATCCTACAGCATTAAAATGAATATATACCAAAGCCCTGATCCTGCAGCCAAGCCCCCATGGGTGTGATCTTGTGCTCCATGCAAAGTTCTGTTAAAATCGGTGGGGTTCTGCATGATCACAGGACTCTACCTGCTCTGATACAATTGAAGATTTGGAGCTCAGTCTCTAAAAATACTGTACTCTTTAGTGATCACTCAGTTAAAGAGCTGATTTCCAGCACAGCAAGATTGCTGTTCCCTTTCAATCTGCAAGTTGCAATAATGGGGAAAGAATGGCCCAGCTGTGTTTCCAGCATTCTCCTGTGTGCGTTGTTTCTAACTGTTGAGAAACCCACATGGGGAGTTTAATGACTTTGGCACTACCATTTTTGCTTAGTGAGTGCCAAGTCACCTGAATTTACATACATTTAGGAGGAAATAGAAACCACTCAGATCCCATAGTGATAAGCATGGTATAAAATCTTGAATGTAACACAGCAGAGCCCATGACACAGAGAGACAGGTTCATCCATGGAATCACATTATCTCTATATTGCACAATATACACTTGATTTTATCTTGGTAACCTTGGAAAGAGAAACAGTTTTTCTTTTGTCTTGATCACTCTGCAGCAATCATGGCCTTATATCTCTTATTACTTTGTGAAACATAAGACAGCCTGCATTAGGTTACATTCTGGACTCTACTTTATTTAATCAAGCTGAATCAGGGACCTTGTTTTTGAAGCTCGATAGAGGAATTGAGCAAGAGCTAAAACAGTATATTCGATAATTCTTCATGTAGGCTGCTCAGCTTTCTTAATTAAAATGTTTCAGCAGGTTCTCCATGGGCCACTGGCCAAAAACAATAAGTTTGTAAGAAACATCAATTTTAAGATTCTGTTTGTTGAAGAGTGGCTGAACATGAGAGAGTCTGACTCCAATCTGGCAGAGAATAATCTCATGCTGCCTCTTCATGTTGCCATTTACACATTCTGGAAATAAAGTTCTTCCTATCACGTGAGTAAAAGTTCTGCCACTTTAACTCATACTTAGGGAGTTCTGATCACTCACTGTCTGGATACTGACCCGCCACCCTTAGAAAGGTGACTCCATACTCATCATTATCTTGCTGATGACAAGACTCTAAACACAGTGTTAGGTCTCCCTGGTAGATTAAGGCAGCTCATCACTGAAGTGATGGCTTGATTGTCTGACCTCTATTAGGAGGGTGGTGATGCTGGATTCCTGATGGTAGAGGTCTTGTGTCTTTGAGGTCCATTCACAATCTTTCTTTCTGTATTGAACTATTTGCCTCACTACCTCTGTTCATTTTTTGTCAAGTTTTCACTGTAATCATGCACATTGGCATCTGAATCCTACTCGTTAAATAACCTCTTATCCTGAAATACGATCAGATCCCTCTGCTTTATGTGCACAAGTCTTTGCACCGCAGATTTCAAGTAAAGGCTTTGGCACATACAAAGTTACATGCTCACATCATTACTTCAGCTAAGACAAATGGGCTCCCCAGGTTCTCTGAACTCTCAGATACTGGAATGACTTCCATGTCCTCCATTACATTTGGATTAAAGCTGTACGGTTAAAGCTCAGGACGGAGAGTCCAGAGATTTGGATTCTATTCCTGACTTTCCCACAGACATCCTGTGTGTCTTTGGGAAAGTCACATAAACTGCTTTGTTGTTCCATCTGTAAAATGGGGATAAAACCTACCCAGCACGGTGGGGGAGGGCATAAAGATTCATTCATTAATGTTGCAAAACTCTTGGAAATAATGGGAAGTGCTATAGTTATCAAAGTTGTTGATATTATTTATTAAAATTCACAGGTACTCCCAGCTCCACAATTTTGTGTGGAGTCATTGGATGATAACATAGCGTGTATCTATCTTTATAAGCTTATGGGAATAATTCTTTTCTAGTAGTTGTATTTTCATGTCTGCCTCTCTAATTTTGTTTTTGCTTCACAGCAGCCATTACCCTTTTAAATGTTCATTTTCCCCCATTTTCTTTTCTTCTCTACATTTCAAAATCAGAATACATTCATGCTGTAGACCCCACTGCTTCAAGACACTGGTTATGTTGATACTGACTCAGGGGTGTGAGCCAACACAGCACACTTGCAGTATTCCTAAAGAACAGACAGCTTTGCATTTGCATCATATTTAGAGTTTTGTTCTGTTTTTTTCCTCTTCTGTAGAAGCTAGCTCCTCTTCAATATTGTCTCTTTTTCGTCATCGGTTGCCCAGACAACACTCCCCAAGCACATTGAAATTGTGCTGTCAGTCACCATAATTATGCCTGCCACGAGGCCATTGCTGGTGCGATACCTGATTGCACGTCTTCTGCATATTTTCTCTGCAATTTATCTACATCAAACAGCTTTCCTGGGTTGTAGTATCACCAGAATTTTCAGCAGTAGCCTAATGGCCCTGCATAAATGTAACTTTCCTTCCTCCCTGGAACACAAAATGAATTATTATGCAAAGGTTTAAGGGTGATGGTGTGACCTAGTGGATAGCTGTTGGACTGGGATTCAGATGACCTGGGTTCTAGTCCTGGTTGGCCTGCTGGGTGACCTGGGGCAAATTGGTTCAATTTCCTATGCCTCTGTTTTCCTGTCTGTAAAATGGGAATAATGGTGGTGACCTTTGTAAAGTGCTTTGAGATCAATTGATGAAAGGAGCTATACAAGAGACAGGGGGTATTGTTATTATATAGCCAGATTTAGATCTTTAAGGCCTGGTTCTGATCTATCTTACACCAGTGTACATCGGAAGCTACAATACTTAAGTCAGTGACAAAAGATTAACAGTTTTAGGGGTCAGTTCTGCTACACCTGATGCACTGAGCTGTAAAACTGTTAGCCTTTTAACATGCTGAAAATGGATCAT